TAAATAGTAGTTCTGGTTGAAAAGTGAGGATGTACAAATGACACCATGTGTCTAGCAGAGCCTTTCCTTCTGTGCCAGCCCTCATATTTGGGGGCTGAAGTAGCAAAACAAGGTTTTGCTCTCTTGTACATCTAAAAACAGGAGACCATGGAGGAGGAATCTGTGCCTTCTTGGTGTAGTGGGTTGTTTTATTTAAATGTGTGACTCTATCTTAGCAGTTTGCCTATCAGAGCTGCAAGGCTGTGCAAGAGCGGAGTAATAGCAGTGGGAAAACGCAGCCAGTGTTGGAAAGGCAGAGTATGACCTGGGATTTTCAGTGGTGGGGTTGGACTCGATGACTCAGGAAGCCTCCTCAAGCCATTCATCACTGTCCTGGGATTGCAGAGGTGCCTCTGAGACAGTAATCCAGATCCAGCTACACCACAAAATCTGAGTCCCCCAGCAGACAGGTCTCAGTTCTCCTGTCCCAGGAGTTTTCAGGACTGGTTATATAGGAAGCCTTCTCCTCTCAGAGTTCCTCTCCATCTCCAGTCATTCAGCAGTAGCACTTTAAGTCTTTGCCTTAAACCAAAACAACTTTCCAACAATAGATGAGGGAAAAGTAGGGACCACTACAGAATTTGAAAACTTTGTTTCCTTAATTATTAGTACTAAGTACTAATACTTTCCTTAATTGTATTCCATGATGGGTTTATGGCTCTTGGAAAGACAACGGGTTTATTGCAGCCAGCCGCTTTCAGCTTTACCATTATACATGTCAGTGACAAAATTCGCAGTTATTTTTTGGGGAACAGGTTTGGGCTTGATGTTTTGGTGTTGTTCTATTTAGTTTTCAGAAATGCACAAAACCAATTACCAAACAGGAAGGTGAAGCTGACATCTGGCTTTTTGGGGGGTTATTCCTTTGGGCGGATTAGGGTGAGAGAGACAAATGGTTATGCCACTTACCTTCTTCTCCTGGTAGAAGCAGGAACCTGAGCCAAAGTGATAGCTGTGGTACACTAAATGAAACTGCTTGTGGATCCTCCTCTGGAAGGCTGGGAGGTCTGATTTGTGGCATAACAGAGGTTTGTGCAGCCCCAGGACTGCATAGCTGCCTTTCGGTCCAGAATGGCATTTGCACCCCTGCCCCACGTCGCTGGCTGAGCCAGCCTGGCTGCTCTCCGTCAGGATTGCAGTGCTGGAACAGCACCAGGGAACACTGTCGGGGATCAGGATCAGATTCATTTTATTTACAAACCCTACACTTTTTATACCTTTTCTATGAGTACTTCTCAGATGTCAGGACCAGATATGTTTACACTCTTTAAGATTTTGCTATTTTACTCCAACAGGGTACAGATGGTTGGTAAAAATCCTTTTAAACTGAGTAGGACCTTACACTTTAGGTCCATATTTTTAAATGTGTAATTAAAACAACACAGATTTTTTTTTTTTTTCTTCCTAAAATATTACCCAAAGAGCCACTTTAGTTGAAGCTCCATTTTATGGTGAGATTCATTTACACATCCCATCACTCTGCAGCGTGAGGCAACTAGGATCTGGACCATAGCCGTTTGGAATCAGAGTTTATAGTGCCTCTGATCTCACTACAGAATACTCAGTTAAAAATAGTCCAGTTGATATTGTAAGACCTCTAAAGGCTCTGATCTAGCAAAGCACTCACATCTCTACTTAACTATGAGGTTCTGATTAGTCCTGTTTAAGATCGTAAATTTTTCACTAACTTCAAAGAAAGTCCTACACCAAAGTTCTTCCTTGTACCAGGGCCAAAACTATTAATGGCAAAGTAGAATATAGTGGATTTAAAATTTGTGAATAATTTAAAGGCTTTTAACTTCTGCCATGTTACAGAATTTATGTGAATTAATTCCTGAAGTTATTATAAAGAAATTCAATTAATAATGGATCTGCTTTTCATTATGATGAGTAATCAAGGATAAACATCTTATATATCAAAGCTTATCTGTTAAAAAGGATAAATTAGCTATAATGCACTTAACTACTTCCAGAACATGAAATGAACACGTATTGTTCCATTAGTTAATTTTGGATCACTAAATTAAAGACAGTTCAAAAGGAGTATAATCTCATAAGCATTGCTCTTTGTTCAGTCTGTTGTGACTTATTTCACAAGACAGGATAAATACTGTTTCTTGTGGGGCTAAATACTATTAGAGTTATAAAATGGTTTTGTTTTAGTATGTTGTATGCATTAGTATGAGTTATCTGCCACAAGCATAAGAATATTTTTATCTGATATTTGCAGATACAGTTTGTACTGCTGCATATCATATAGGCTATTGGGATGCTGTATTAAGAGTACCAATAAAACCATAAATGCAATAAATAAACAATAAAACAACATCTAGAATGTAACCTTTTATCCATGGAAACATGGATGTGTATGTACCAGTAAATTAATCCAGGCCAGGGGATAGGCCTATCATCATCTCTCCAGTTGAATTAACAAGCACAGCTCCTGGCATGGTTTTGGCCAGCTAGCACCCTCCAGGTGATGCTTGGACATATTTGGGGTCAGGATTGGCCATCATTCATTCCCAAAGGCAGCTGTGATTTGGCCATCCTGTCCACGGGGATAAAAGAGAGTTTAGCCATCTTGATGCAGTGTGCCACACAAGTTGTCCTGGTCATCAGAGAATAGCCTTGACCTGTTTTACGTAGTAGTATAGATGTAGTTCTGAGGTATAGAAAACAAAATAGGGTTTAAAAACATAAAATTAGATTCTACCTACTGCTTAATGTAGTCCTTGTTTACTCAGCCACTTAGGGCTTTTTATGGCATATAGGATAGCCTGCTAAATTTAATTTACCGTGCAAAAGTACAGTGGGTAACTATGCAAATATCTGCAGTGACTGCAAAGCAAACTTTGTAGCATTTTCAGTGGGTGTCTTGGAGGCTTCCGTGTTCTCAGAGAAGAAACAGCACCAGCAGAAAAGTACCTTATCTGTCTTAAGTGTCTTTAGCTCAGGTTGGAGCTTCTGTGGTTACACCTAGTGTCAAAAAGTGTCGGCCTCTTGAAGAAAGAGGCACTTTGCTAAGTTAGCAGAGGTAGTATGTTTAAAAGAAAAAACAATAGGCAGGATGTTGCCGGGAGCAGTGCTGGGATACTTTAATGGAAATTCAGAGAGCTGCTTGGACAATTGTGCCATGTGCACAGACGCAGAGACCCCAGACTGTCACATCATTACTTTGAGGGCCAGATTCTGTCTCTCTGGCTGATGCTGACATTGCTTGCTCTCTCTGTTGCCATGAAAATCGGGGGGATTTTCCGCAAAGCCTCTAACTGTGAATTAGAGGTAATCGTATTGTACTGGGACCACAGGACAAGGCTGAAAGCAACATCAAGATGAGAGGGACCATGCTGGAATGTAGTTCTGTATGGATACTGTCTTCCTAATGGGAGGAAAGCTCAGCGCCTTTCCCTGTAGTGCCTGAATATCTGCAGAGAGAGGTTGACTGTGGATGAATGGATAGAAAGATTGCATGTGGATAGTTATATGCAGAAAATGAGCTTCATTTCCTACCCACTTGCACCTTGCATTATCTGTTTTGTATCAAAACAAAGGCGATGGGTTATGCCATGTAATTCAGCTACATCACATCAGCTTTGTACAGGCACTTCCCCATCACCAAGCCTGCTCTTATGCTTCCAGGCTGCACCTGGAGACTGACTACATCAGTTTAAAGAAAAGAAGCTTAGCATACCCTGAGGGCCACAAGGATGATCAGAGGGCTGGAGCACCTCTCCTATGAGGACAGGCTGAGAGAGTTGGGGATGTTCAGCCTGGAGAAGAGAGCTCCAGGGAGACTTTATAGCTGCCTTCCAGTACCTGAAGAGGCCTACAAGAAACCTGGGGAGGGACTTTTTACAAGGGCAGGTAGTGATAGAACAAGGGGTAATGGCTTTAAACTGAAAGAGGGTAGGTTTAGATGAGATATTAGGAAGAAATTCTTTACTCTGAGAGTGTTGAGACACTGGAACAGGTTGCTCAGAGAAGTTGTGGATGCCCCCTCCCTGGAAGTTTTCAAGGCCAGGTTGGATGAGGCTTTGAGCAACCTGGTCTAGTGGAAGGTGTCCCTGCTGATGGCAGGGGTAGATGATCTTTAAGGTCCCTTCCAACCCAAACCATTCTATGATTCTGTGATTTGCTGAGCTGCCAGGGCTGCCCTTTCCCTCAGGATTTTGCTTGTAGGTGTCAGAAGCTGCAATCCTTCACTGAAATGTGCCTGCCATTGAGATCCCTATGGCAGCATTAGAGCAAGATGCATTTTGATCTTTGAAACCATTTGATCCATTTCATAAATTTATATTAAGATCTGGCAGATTTTCTCATTCTGAGTGCCTCTAGCAAGGCAGTATGGAGTAAGTGGCTAACAGTAGTGGATTTGATGTTGATTGTGGTGTTGAGCAACCTTGCTGTGGGCTGGGGAGCTGAAGTCTTGAGAGGGATTTTTCATTCCTTGACTAGCTTTTATCCACAAGACAAATTTGTATTCCAGTATGTCTGTTACATACAAAGTATATTTTTGATTATACTGTTCAGTTAGATAACTCATGGTGGGGAAGAGCCAATTTTAATTAATTGATGGGTAGGATTTCTCCTAATCCCTGCATTTTGGAAAATAGAGATAGAAAGATGGTTGTTAGCTAGTGCTTTAAGAATTGCAGCTTATGCTAAGGAGTAATTACTTGTAGCTCTGAAGAACTAGATTGTCTCAGGCACACATTAAATCACATTATCTGATAGTAAATTAATCTTAGGTTTTTTTTCTTTTTTCCTTTCTTGCAGTTCTGAAGGATACAATCTTACATTGTCCTGGGCTGGAGCAGTAAAGGATAAATTTGATCACTGGCTGACTTGTCATCTCTTCGTTGTGATGGAAGAATGGTCGGCTGAAATAAACCTTTTGTTATGCTGCTAAAACTGCCTTTGAATCCAAGATCTGTTGTGATTTTTAAAACACAAACACAGAAATGTCAGAACCCGATCCTTCATCTGGATTTGTAGGAAACATGGAAAATGGGACTTTTCTAGAGCTGTATCCCACATCCCTTTCAACTTCAGTAGATTCATCACCTGGTCGTTTATCCAACGTCTATGTCTATGTTTCTATATTCCTCAGTCTTTTAGCTTTTCTCCTTTTGCTATTGATCATTGCACTTCAGAGGCTGAAAAACATAATTTCTTCCAGTTCCTCCTACCCAGAATATAACAGTGATGCTGGAAGTTCTTTCACTAATTTAGAGGTTTGTAGTATTTCTTCCCAGCGCTCTGCTCTCTCAAACCTTTCTTCATGAAACTGAATGAAATGAAAGGTACGGGGAATGGAAGAGTTTTGTCTAGTTTTTTGGGGAGGTAGTGCATGCAACATTTGCCTTAGAAGACTATTATGGAGAGGTGGCTTTTAAAGTTTCCTTAGGTTTGTTTTGGTTTTTCTTTTTTTTCATTCCTTTTCTAGTCTTCATTTCCCCTTTTACTAATGTTCTTTTTCATTTTGGACAATGGATAATGACACATGATCATCATTTCATGCCTGTAATAGTGATGCTGTCTTTTTCTCACACATAAGTGGTGTTCATTAAGAGTACTCCTGCCAAACTGTAATGTGGTTCTAACTGGATGTGTCATTTTTCTGCTCTAGTTGTGACCCCTTCCCTGATTTTGTATCAATAATATGCTATTTTTTTTTCCTTTTTAATTAGAAAAGGACTTCTGGGTGAAATTGGCTTAAATTATAAATATTGGAACAATTTAAAGTCATTGGTATTGTTTCAGTTTTAATTTTAACTTCTTTTTCAGTATTTATTGATGTTTATAAAACACAACTACAATCCGTTTCTTGAAGAATGTTACTTTTGTTTATTTGTACTACCAACTCATTCTGTATAAAGTCTCTGTATTTCAGTTTTTGAATCTCTTTGGTTAACTCAGTAAAGCAACTACAATAATGATGCTCACTGCTGAATGTGTGGAGGTATTTTTGGACCTCGTTGCATCTCATTTGCCTAATGAGTTGTTCCTCCAGGGGACAGCTTTTGCTGCTGAATCATAAATACCACACAACTGTTCCTTCACTGATCCTAAAGCTTCTTAATGGATATGAGTACAAACTAGTGGTTTCTTTTAGGAGATCTGCATACAACAACGATAGCTGCCAACTGAGTGGCTCCTGTAACTGTCCTTCAGGCTCAAGATGTTGGTACTCATGTGAGCAGGGCTAGCAGGGACAGTAATTGCTTGTACTGGTGAGGACTTTCTGGGACAGATTTTGTCCTGTGATTTCACAAATGCACACTGGGGTAGAGGGGAGACACGAGGGTCTGTGTTAATGGCCAGGCAGACCTGTGCTCTGACCCTGAGGAGATGCAAGGTGTACCTGCAGAGGGTAGGAAGCGATGGGAAGGAAAAAGGCAGTGGCTCTGCCCCTTTTCCCCATCACCATAAGGAGAGGCCAGAGAGGAGATGAGAAAAGGATGATCTTTCACCATCTTGCGCCTCTGCAGTGTCATATTCCTGTCTGAAGTATAACCCAGCACTCAATTTCTGCAATAAAATAACTAGCAGCATTGTGAACAGGATCCTGTGGTCAGCTGGGAATTAAATCAAGGTAAACAATCAAAAGAAATTACATGCCAAGTGTGACCTGCTAGGACTGCAGCCCCATGCTGTGCTGTGGGGTTCCTTGCTGTCCTTTCTGCCCTAGGTGAGCACAACCCAGTCCTGCCACTCAAGTCTTACTGTCATGGAAGGATCCAAGTCACTGGAGAGACCTGAGGAAGGGTATGGAAATGTCACTGCAGTTTCTGTTGCTGGCGTAACAGCATGAGTAGCTCCAGACAATGGGCCAGTCTCGGCAGGAGTGCGGGGCAATGGGTCTCCCTACGCTCGGCATGACTGCCCAGCAGGTCAACGGGCCAGGGAGCTACATGTCCTGGTTGCAATGGGGACAGAGCTAATTTTATTTTCTCAGTAGCTAGAGTAGTGCTGTGTTTTGGATTCAGTATGGGATTTGGTATGAGAAGAATGTTGACAATATACTGATGGTTTTAGTTGTTGCTATGAAAACAAGGACTTTCTAACTTCCCATGTTTTACTAGTCTGGAGGTACAGAAGAAGCTGGGAGGAGAATGACAGGTTCAAATTGACATTTGGATATGCCAATGGGATATTCCATGTCATATAACATCATGTTCAGTATATAAATGAAGGTTGACTAGAATACTCACTCCTCTGGGACTGCAGTTTTGGGTTCAGAATTTTTGTTCCTCTGGCATCGCTATTGGCGAGTGGTGAGCAATTGCACTGTGCATCACTCTTTTGTATGTTCTATTATTATCATTATTGTTATTGCCATTATTATTTTAAGTTTTATTTTATTCCAATTATTAAATTGTTCTTATCTCAACCAACGAGTCTCCTTACCTTTACCACTCCAATTCTCTCCTCTATTCCTTGGGGTCAGGAGGGAGAGTAAGTGAGCGGCTGTGCAGTGTTTGACTGCCAGCCAAGTTAAACTACAACACTGCAGAAGACCTCCCAACCAGCTTTGTTACAAATATCCTCCTGCAGACCTATCAGTGTGTTCATCAACAAGACACATTCTGCCATTAACTAGACAGGCTTTAAAAGAGAAATGTGGAAAGCCCGATGTAACTATAATCATTAGAAATAGAGCTGTGACAAACAAATTCAGTGACAAACTGAATTCACAAATTCAGTGACAAACAACATACAGATGATGCTGGCATCGGTGTTTTCAATTTTTAAAAGTGAATCTACAGTATGGTAAGTGATAGTGACTTATGGTGGTCATTAGCTCCTTACAAACATCAAAAAATGTGCTGACTAATAAAGCACTTAAGGCTGCAGGTTCTCTGAACCAAACTGATTTGATGAATATATTTAGTCTCTGGAATATTTTATTAATCTAGACAAAAATTTATTGTAAATCACTTTTCACTATAATTGAGAAAATAGTTAACTATTTGAAAGGAATCAAGAAACATTGTCCTTTCTGAAGGCTCTTCCAAATCCCAAACCTGTAACAAAATGTATTTGTGTGTTGACAGGTAGATAAAAATAAGTGAACTGTAAATCAAGATGGAGCAACCATTCAACTATCTTCTCTTTCTTACCTACAAAGATGTACATTCATTGTTTCCTTTGAATTTAATCAAAACCAGGAATGAGACCACAGGTTGAAATAGGTATTTATTTCCAGTGATATGTTTCCCATTACTAGTTTATACTTGCAGATATAGAGACATTTAATATTAAATACAGACACCGAAAACTCATTTGCTTTGTTCAGTGAGCTGTTGTCAAGCTTCACAAGAGCAAAAACTATTTTTCAGACTGCATGAAGTAGCAAAGGTAACAGAAACCACACATTTGATTTTGCTTTGTACTTTAGTAGACGCTATTAATTTTTTTTCCACTCTGCAGTGACATCGGGAACTATATACAGTCATCATGATTTCAGCAGAGTTGCACCTGTTCTCGTCAGGACTCATTTGAGGAGAAACAAGTTGGATCCAACAGAATAGCATCAGGAGAAGCCACAGGCAAAAAGCATCGTGGCATTTTTGAAGATTAGTAAGAATTTGTTCTTTAAGAAAAAAAGAAAATTAAAAAAACCCAACAAAATAAAAAAAATGAACCTGAGAACATGAGCTTGACTTAACTTGAGTTGCAGGGATTTGCCACCATGGTAAATGGAAAAACAGATCAGGTTTTTTATTGCCATCAAATTCCTGTGTTTTCTACCTCTCCCTGTCTCTATCTCCCCTACTTTCTGTTACTCACAAACCAAACAGACCTCGACAGGCTGGAGAAGTGGGCAGAGAGGAATCTCATGAAGTCCAGCAAGGGAAAATGCGAAGTCCTACACCTGGAAAGGAATAACCCCGGGCACTGGGACAAGCTGGGGGCTGATTAGCTGGAAAACAGCTCTGCAGAAAAGGACCTGGAGGTCCTGGTGGACAACAAGTTGACCTTGGGCAATTAACACAATGTTGCTGCAAAGGAGGCCAAGAGCATCCTGAGCTGCCTTAGGAGAAGCACAGCCAGCAGGTCAAGGGAGGTGATCCTTCCCCCCTGCTCAGCACCAGTGGGACACCTGCATTGCTGTATCCAGTTCTGGGCTCCCCAGAACAAGAGAGATGTGGAGCCAGGCTCTTCTCAGTGGTGCCCAGCGACAGGACAAGAGGCAACGGGCACAATCTGAAACACATGGAATTCCATCTCAACATAAGAAAACATTTTACTCTGAGGGTTGTCAAACATAGGCATAGGTTCTCCACAGAGGCTGTGGAGTCTCCACGTTTTGACCTCGGCAAGCTGCCTGCAGCTGACCCTGCTTTGGGCAGGAGGGCTGGACCAGATGATCCTCAGAGGTCCCCCATCTGTGCTGTGATTCAGTGGTTCATGTCAGTGCAGTAACTCAGTGCCTTCTAGCTCGCTGACTCCTCTGGTGTGTTTTCTTGGCTCTGGAGCCGAGTAAACAATGTCTTTACTAGGGGGTGATTTGTTCAATAACTTGTCACTAAAGAGCTGCTCTCTTAATTCTCTTGCCTGCAGCCACACACTTTTCCAGCTTTTACACCACCTTTTTATGGAGTGGGTTCACATTTCACAGTCAGCTTTTGCCCTGGGCCCCTTTTGTTTTCACCAAGTCCTCTGACTGCAGCAGCACCATTAGCTTTGGTGATATATGGCTCCAAGACTTCATGGCTCCAGGGAGTTGCAAATATACCTGGAAATTTATAGAAAGAAGAATACCAATAAAGCACGGATAAGGAGAGAACAGAAGGAGTTTCTGGATGACACAGAAAAGATATTTTTCTTTAGTTCAGCAAATACAGTCCATTTAAGTGTATTTAATCAAAGACTTCCTGGTGAAGGCTGTAGCAGCCTCTGTTATCTAAGACTCTCTTGCACTGCTGCCACCCTGGCCCTGCTGTCAGGTTAACCCATCATATCCTCAACATTACTGAATCATTCCCATCCTGAGACAGTGCCATGCTCTTCACTCAGCAACTCTTCAACTCTGTAGAGAGTTTATTCCACTGAACTAATTTCTGCTTTCAGCCATTCTTTGCCAGCTCACCTGAAAGGTTTATCTCTGTAAGCTTAAAGTCTTGTCTGGGTTTCCTAAAAATACCTTTTAACTAGGGAACAATTCTTACTTCTCTTCCACGCAGCTTGTTCACCCTCCTCTTTCACTCTCTAACCCTGTGGCACTCTGCTGAGGCTGAATCCCCATGGAGCATCATGTTCCTCTGTACTTCAGCTTTTT